TGTTCTAGGTGTTCTTGGGAAACAAAAGTTGTATGCGAAATTTTCTAAGTGTGAATTTTGGTTGACTTCGATTGCCTTTTTGGGGCATGTAGTTTCAAAGGAAAGAGTAATGGTAGATCCCCAAAAGATTGAGGCAGTTAAGAATTGGGTTCGGTCTAGCTCTGTGCTGAAGTTAGGAGTTTTCTATGGCTCGCTAGTTTCTATCGTTGATTTGTGAAGAACTTTGCTTCTATTGCCATGCATCTGACAAGGTTGACTAAAAAGGAGGTACCTTTTAAATGGACTGAAAAATGTGAGGAGATCTTTCAAATGCTCAAGACTCTCTTGACCACAGCACCTATTTTGGCACTAACGGTGGAAGGTAAAGATTTTATTGTTTATTATGATGCTTCGTATTTAGATTTAGGTGCGGTGTTGATGCAGGATAAGAATGTCATGGCTTATGCATAGTGGCAGTTGAAAGTACATGAGATAAATTACCCAACACATGATTTGGAGTTGGCAGCAGTAGTGTTTTCTCTCAAGATCTGGCGACATTACCTTTATTGTGTTAAGTGTGAGGTATTTACTCACCACCATAGCCTGCAACACTTATTCAATCAAAAGGATCTAAATATGAGACAACGAAGGTGGATGGAGTTACTCAAGGATTATGATGTAACCATCCAGTATCATTCGGGTAAGGCTAACGTTGTGGAAGACGCATTAAGCCGGAAGGCGGTGAGTATGTTTAGTCTAGGTTGCTTGAGTGTATCCAAGTGACCTTTGAATAAGGAAATTCAAACCTTGGAAACTAAGTTCACGTAGTTGGGAATCTCAAAGAAAGGTGGGGTGTTAGCTAGCATTGATGTAAGGGCCACGTTTATTGAAGAGATCAAGACCAAATAGTTTGAGGATGACAATTTGAATGAGCTCAGAAAGAAGATGGTGTCTGGCAAGGCAGAAGATGTGACTTTAGATACGGGGGGTGTTCTCATTTTTAGAGGAAAGATTTGTGTCCCAAAAGTGGGAGACTTGATTCAGAATTTATTAACAGAATCCTATGGTTCTCAGTATAACATTCATCCAGGTGTGACTAAGATGTACTGAGATTTGAAGTGACTTTATTAGTGGCCTGGCATGAAGAAATGTATAGCGAAGTTTGTGGCTAAGTATCGAAATGGCCAACAAGTAAAATATGAGCATCAAAGGTTGGCAAGTTTGCTTCAGAGAATGTCAATTCCAGAATGGAAGTGGGAAAGTTTAGGTATGGATTTTGTGGTTGGTCTCCCCAAGACCTTGGGGAAATTTGATTTTATTTGGGTAGTGGTTGACATATTGACTAAGTTAGCCCATTTCATCCTAGTTAGAATAGACTATAAAGCTCAACAGTTCGCTAAGGTTTATGTGAAAGTGATACTGAGGTTACACGGGGTGCCCCTTTTTATCATCTCAGATTGTGGTAGACAATTCACATCTAAGTTTTGGAGAACATTACATGATGAATCGGGCACTCAACTCACCTTTAGTAAAGTCTTCCATCCACAGACAGATGGGCATTCAGAGAGGACTATTCAGGTGTTAGAGGACATGTTGAGGGCATGTGTCATTGACTTTGGAGATGTGAAACCTTTGGGGGTTGACTTAGTGAAGGATACTCTGGATAAGGTAAGAAGCATCCAAGCTAAGCTCCTAGTAGCCCAAAGTAGACAAAAAAAGTACGTGGACCATAAGGTAAGAGACATGTCATTTCAGACTAGTGAAAAGGTTCTTCTTAAAGTATCACCCATGAAAGGGGTGATGAGATTTGGCAAGAAAGGCAAGATTACTCCTCGATACATTGGTCCATTTGAGATTCTTGACTGTGTAGGGCCAGTGGTTTATAGATTGGCTTTACCACCTAGCTTATTTGGAGTTCATCCAGTGTTTCATATATCCATGTTGAAGAAGTATCATGGGGATGGGGATTACATTATAAAATGGGACTCAATGTCGAGACAAAGACCTTTAGTATGAGGAGGAACCGATTGAAATTCTTGATCATCATGTTCGAAAGCTGAAGAACAAAGAGATTAATTCTGTTAAATTTCAATGGACGCATCGTCCAGTTGAGGAAGCTACTTGGAGAGATCAAGAAGTACATGCGAGACAAGTATCCCCAGTTGTTCGACGATTCATGTACTACTCTACCCTAACTTTAGCCTCTTTTTCCTAGTTTGTCACTTGGGGACGAGGGATGGGTAAATTAATATCTATTGTAACGACATGTTCCCATCGTTATAGAAAATGCCAATGGGGAAAGAATTGGGGCTAGAAGAACTTTTTGTAGTAACTTGGGATTTCCTAGCCTAGTCCAGATTTGGGCGAAATTGGAGTCACGAAAGTCTAGGGAAATCTCATAATGAATGAGAGATTCAATAATGAATTCGGTTGCATGGATAGATAGCTGAGACGTTAAGGAACCCGTATGACTTTACGGAATCAAATTCTAGCGAGTAGAACTCCCGAAACTGATCTTAGCATAAACATGTAGTTTTGAACATCCTGATTTAAGATGTGTTGTGAAATGGGGGTTTGGAACTCTAATTCTGACTTTCTATATCTGTATAAGCAGCCAGGGCGGGATTAATTCCGCCAGGGCGAGGGCACGGTGGAAGGTTGGGTCCCGCTGTGGTAAGACAGTCGCGACTTAAGTCGGAAATAAACCCCAAAAACATTATTATTCTGCAATTTTCATTCTCTAGAGCTAGGAGACGAACCAGGGTAAGTTCTTGACAGTTTTCCACCTCTTCTAGCACTAAAGGTAAGGTTTTTAATCCCCTAATATGTTTTTCGATCCGTACAAACTAGATTCTTGGTTAATTACTATTTGGGAGGGTTTTTGGACTGAATTGGATGGTGGGAAAAAGTACCAGGTGCACCTTAGGATCATGGGTTGGGTCTTGGGTTATTGGGTTAGTTACAATCCGGATAATTAGACCTTTTGATTGTTGATCCTTGCGTATATTAATTGTTTGTAGACCTAAAACAAGTGGAAAGAAACTGGAAAGGGAAGATTCAAGTGCCTTAGAGGGATTCAAGCTTGGTTTCTAGGTAGATAATGGTTTGATTTCATGTTTGTGTGATGTATGTTAGTATTTGTTTCATTGTAATGCATGTATGTATGTGAATATTGCACTATTGATCACATCTAATGTAAATGAGTATGGATGAACGATTGTAAGCCATGAATCAACACTTGATTGTATGATTATGAAAATGTACATTGTGATTGTGATTGTGGCATGTTGAATGGATCGGGTGTCACGTTCTGACACACTAACTTGGATCAGATGTCACGTACCGACATACATAATGGAACGGACGTCACATTCCGACACACTAACTTGGATCGGGTATTACGATCTGGCACACTAACAGTTTGGGTATGGGTTCCATGAGAGGATGATTGACTTGTCATATATGCGTATTATTGAAAATTTGGAATGGTACATTGCTCCTGAAATGATAATTGATATTGTATATGTTTAGTATATGCATGTTTACTATGTTGTGACTGCGTATATATGTTTCACCTGCTGGAATACCTGTGTGATCCCACCAGTACATTGTGGTTGTGTACAGATACTGCACTCAGGCGACTATTGATAGACCTTAGCTAGGAGAGTAGTGATCGAGATCGGATTTCAAGGGTGAGCCAGTTATTCTAGGCTGCCGTGGAGTCCTTTAATCTGTTTAGTCCATTTTGTTCGGACTTAGACAATTGTTAGACTTACTCGTATGTTGAGTTGGGTTGTACCTCTTTTCTTTAGACTTGTTGAACTTTGGATGTGTTGGTACATTGACTTTCAAACTCTAGGGATGTTTTTCGCAATGTTTTAGTATCGATTTGTTAGACTTTCGGAGTTTATGGGAACTCCACTCTATTTCTGCATTTAAACCTGCTTCCGTATCTTTAAATGTTTAGTTTTGGGATTAGTTGGTTATTAGTGATGGTTCTCCAAACGGAGGATTAGTGTGGGTGCCAATTACGACGGTCTGGGTCATGACATGGGCATTCGTGGCACATTGCAAGAGGGTCGGGTGCGTTGTGATGTTCTTAAACCTAAGTTAAAAAATATTTTAAGTAAACTATATTTTAGTTCTTATTTGAAGATGACAATAGGTTTTCTATGATGAGTTAGGACTTTTATAGATGCTCGAATTAAGCCGAAGTGCCCGGTACAATTCTGACATTATTGAATGAAAAATTGGGCTTTATGACTCATAAGTTTGTCTTGAGGGTTGATTTTATGTTGAATCATTTTTCTTTATATTTTGAGCATTTGGTCAAGTCCATACAAGGTATTTGAATAATTTGATTAAATTTTGATAAGCTTCAGTCTTTTATATGCGTTCATATTTGATGTGTAGATGTTGTTTAGAGCATAAACATTATCACCTGAAAAAATTGAATTTGTGAATTATATGAAACTAAATTTAAGTGCTGGATTGACTCTGTGCATAACTATATTTCTTTGTATGATGATTCTTGTTGTACCTATTGTTTGGATAAGAGAAAAGACATAAAGACACAATTAAAGTTGTCCTGTATTTGCATAAAGACACCTTAACTTTCAAAGTGTTCTATCACCCCACAAACTATTTAATATCGTTGTAAATGGGCCATTTTGACCCATTCCCTCGTCTGGGTTGTTACCACGCACATGAGGCGCGTCATTCAGTGATTTCACTGCCATGGACCAATTTAAAAGTGCCACGTGTCATTTTCTTTCTTTATTATTAATTATATAATCAATTTATGTCATCTTCCCCAATTTTAAACCCAAAAATAGCTGTTGGCAGCCCTAATTTTTCGATTTCATGGTTTTTTCCATAGCAAGATCAATGTTGGTTCTCTTTGTTTGACGACTTCATCATCTTCCCCAAGAAAATAAGGTAGGAATTCGTTTTATCTTTTAATTTCCAGTATAAAACGTTAATTTAAAGTTTTTTATGGTTTAGTTTCTTCTGAATTTTGTGATTAGGTTTTGATTGAAAATGTCAAATGCAATGTTGAATCGTATTTGTAATGATGAGAATGATCCGATGTTGCGAGTGAAATTGCGATGCAAACATGGTGACTTACTATCAATGCAAACTTCATGGTCGGAGCACAATCCAGCTCGAAGATTTTGGTCTTGTCCACGCTATCGTGTATGTTTCCTAATTCTTTTATGGAGATCTTTTGTTTATGTATTTTCTTTAATTTATTTTTTTGCGTATTTTAGGAGGATGCGTGCAACTTCTTTAGATGGAGGGATCGTGAAGATGTTGATATACGATCTAAGTACGTAATTCCGAGATTAGCAAAGAGAATTAAGGAGTTGGAAGAAGTATTGGCATCTTATGAAAGTCGTGTTCCAAGTTACCAAGTTGTGATGAAGGAGAAAAAGAAGAACAAATGTTGTAACTTGAAGCTAATTGTTTTGATTATTATTGTGTGTTTTCTATTTTTAAGTCTAACCAAGAATGTGAAGGATGGAAGTTGTCGGTGTGTGCAACCAAAATTGCCATAGACATCTTTAGTGACTTTCAAGTTTTTGAAGTCGTAGGTGTGTGTAACTAGAAGCTAAGCTAATTGTCTTGATCTTGCTAGTTGTAGGTGTGTGTAACTTGAAGGATGGAACTTGTTGAATGCTCAAGTTATTGTTGGTCTTTGTTGTTGAAATAGTTATGATTTGAACAAGTTGTTAATGTATTTGGTTCTCTTGTCTATATTATTGTGGCAACCATTTAAGAAACTTCAAAAATATGTTCAACTACAAATAAAAAGGCAACAACAAAACTGATCAAAAAGAGGACTTCATTTCAACATAATCATTCAAGTTTTGTTTGGTTACACGCAAAATTGAGTTTGATTCCAACCAAAGATAGCACCAAAATATACATAATTAAATTTTGTTTGTCAAAATGAACAAGACAACATCAAAATACCCTACTTCCATGGCACAGAAGTCTTCCTACTTGAAGTTGTTTGGCTTTG